AAGTAACGAACGTTCGATCATTAGCCAAAGGCAAAGTAAAGCACAAATGAAGTAGCAAACAAAACGGTGTAATTTTCTGTAGAGTTCAATAACTTCAACCTTTAACTAGCCGTGTTAAATATAAAGTAGGATAAACAAGCAAAATTACCTTTAGAGTTGCGATGAATTTATAAGCTTTGTTGCGACGATTTTATGTAAAACGCAAAGATTGTCTGCTGTTATTGAAAAATAATCTTTCTAATACAAAACTTTAATGAGAAACAGTATTCCGATTTTAATCTATTCTCAACCAGGCAGACATCAAGCAAAAGCAAAATTTACTATTGACATTTTATTTTGCATTACTAATTTAATTATGATGAGACTAATATTAAAAGTCGCCCCATCTACCAAGTTTCCCAAGATAACAATGACAATGTAAATTGTTCGGCTTATATTGTCTATGCGGATCGGGCGATGGATAACACGTTCCGTTTCAAGCAAATGATTTATAAACGGTAGATATTTTTGTAAAAGTTTCTTTGTCTGATATTTATTAGTGAATCCTTTTTATTAATATTATCTAAATTAACAGCGTACTGTTTGAGTAAATCTATACATATTATAAAACTTTAGAAGTGTGAATTCTGTACATTGAAAATATAAAAAAAATAATAGTAGGGGGTAGTAGGTAGACACCGAAACCAATTTCATTAAAATTTTGTCTGTATGTTCATGCATGCAAACTACTGGTCTGATTACGATGTACTATAGTGTACTTAAAATCCAATAAGACATTGTTTACGTGATAGTATGACATTATCCCATTATCCACACGATCAAAGGCCTTCTTAAAGTAAAAGTCAAAGTAGAGAACGTCAACTTGTATTCACACAAATGAATATTTGTCCAAATGCTATAAAATTAGGTCCACAAGTTATCTAGCAGGTTAGTGCCAACAGAACGGTAGAAACGGAAGCCGTGCTGAGGGTTGCAGAGCTACGGTTGGACCTGGGCGGGAGCGCTAATATGTGTGTGTCTGTGTAGTATGGATTCAAAAACGTTGGCAAGAGATGATAAAATAGCGATTGGCCGATAGTTTTCAACTTTGGAGGTGTCTCTAGTTTTTGGTACTGGCTACACTCGCGAGATTTTCCATAAGTGTGCCGTGGATATAGGATATTTTAAATTTATATCATAACTATGTGCAGTATAACGAGCTTTAAACCTTTTTTTAATATTTCTGTGTTTAAACCCTTTTTACACGCCTTATTAGCCTTCCAAGACACAAGCCGGTATATTGGAAGGCAAATATAATATATATAATCGGGCCCCACAGCAGACTTTGGGTTTAATTTATTTATAGCCGTTTCTATGTCCTGCAATATCATATCATCCAATTGTACTGAATTCTCCGAATAATTTATTGTATAAATATACATATAACGGTCGGCTAGTTGTGATCAAGAAGAGATGTATCAGGTAAAAAGAAACTGATAAAGTGGGAAGAAAAGGTTTTTGGAGCGTCTACGTCAGTATACTCCTTTGCTTTATAAGTTACTGTAGGCTTGAAGCCACCTATGTATTTTGGATTAGGTAGGTACTTAAATGCTGGTATAATTTAGTTTTTAAACAACGTAATTTAGTACTTAATGATATATATGCGCTTGTAATAAATAGTTTTACTACAACTATAAGGTTTTCAAGTTAATAATTTAGTAATTACTTACTGTAATACATGTAATTATCACATTAAAATATTATATTACTGGAAAGGGCCTAGCGCCCAGTACCGTCTTTACCAAAAGGCCACTTGGGGCCCGGACACAGGGCCCCCATCACCAGCAGGCGCCAAAAGGCCGACAATTTCTACGATGGACACACACCCGGCAACCGGCTGCCCCGCAACGTGTTGGGTTCGATTCCCGCACAGAGTAAATCTTTGTGTGATCCACAGATTGTTGTTCCCGGTCTGGGTATCATGTGTATGTAAACTTGTATGTTTGTAAATGCACACATGATACAGAAGAATTCTAGTGTGAGGCAACGTTATAAAAAGAAGCATTTAAAAAAGGGCCCCTAATATTGTATGCCCCAGAGCCCCAGCGTAGTCCAAGTCGGAGTGCTAGCGCCAGTAGCTTAGATTATCCTAGTTTGGGTTCCTGACTTCCACCAATATATTTTAATGTCTAAGTTAATGTACTTTGATTTAATTTAATCTTTACAGGTTTCCCACCTCTGGCTTGCCTTCATTGGCCGTCCAGAGTGCAGTCGCGAGAGCAGTGATCTTGCTCGGAGGGTAAGAAGGTATTCGTAAGTCGCGAGTGGGCCAGGGATGCAGGAGGCTTCGGCTGGAGCAGATGGTCTGAGTAGAAAGCGGTGGTAGTTATATTAAAGTTGTGTAAAGGGCCTCTGCGCAGTTGGCTTCGGCCCCTCGTACGCCTCCCAAATGACCGGGACCCTGTGGTCCCGTGAATGGTAAAGACATACAATAATAAGCCTTTTATTCGGATGTTTTGATATAACTAAGTAACAAACATACACACAAAATAATCCTTATAGTATGCTTCAGTATTCTCGGGCAACGGGCGCGATGGGCTTATTAGCGTATTTCAAGTATACCGATCGATTTCTTTGATTCTTTTTTATTGAATTGGTAATTATGTTAACTGGTTTTAATTAGGGATGAGTGAGAGTATTATAAACGTAAGAGTAAACAAATATAAGCAAAATACTCCCAACTGCTAAGCTATCGGGCGTTAGCGTGTTATTGTGAGTCAACCATAAAAAATAAACATTTGCTGTTTCGGAATATTTTTTAGATAATACATTTTTCCTATGTAGCTTTAACCATTAAGACTACACACGCGACGGAAGCTTAAAAAATGGAGTAACTTCTCTCGTTTTCCCAACATTTCCCTTCACTGCATATATGAGCAGTACTGATTGTAACGTGATGGAAAGTATACTATAACCTTTGACTGAACATTTTTTTAATGGACTATACAGTAAAGGCAAAACCTATAATAGCTAGTCGCGGTTGCTGTGTCAGGATCTGCTGAATTACATTCTTATAATTTTGAGCGCCTAAAAATAATGAATAGCAATATTTTACCGATATGATCATTTTTGTGACAAGGTTTTAGGCACTTTGGAGTGATCTCACTCAACAAGTCAATAATCTAATGAAAGTTATGATCTGATGGACCTAATGATGGTGGCGGTACAACATTTCCCAGATGTTGCTAGTACCTAATGTAAATACTGTCCCTACATCATCGTTATCCATTGCTGTATCACCGTGAGCACTCAGCAGGAAATACAACTCTTCTCAAATGGCACACACCACTAAGCCTAATCTCATAAACCGTCTCGTTTACAATTTTAATAGGATAGTTACTATGTTATATAACTCTTTATTGAAATTGAAAGTCAGTCAAAATATATTAATACTTAGGTACAGTTGAAATTATTTTATTTTTAGAGATTAAGTCACAGTGCTTTGGTTGACCAAGAAGAGTTCTGAAGATCAGCAAGCCAGCTGCTACGGAGTACATACCGACTGTAAGCTGCGGCGCTTGTATCACTAGACATATTCAAATACTAACAGAAGACTAAAGATGAACAGAACAACTAGGAAGACAAACAATGATAAATATACATATAGGTAAGTATGAGTACTATTGACTGGTAGCTTCATTGGTTCGGAGTTCACAATTCACTGACACCCCCGTGTCAGTCAGTTACAATTACAAGACACATACTAAAGTGACACCCCTCTCGCGCTTGACTGTGTCGTTTAAAATATATCTTTTGTATTTTGAGTTGCAATTTTATTATTCGAATTTCTTACGTATAGTAAGGAGATAACTCATACTATCTTAGATATCTACGAGTAACTGATATTTGTATCTGTATAATGTCTGCCTACCCCTCTACCTTACGACCGAAATTAGTAACCGATTACAATCTAAAATCTTTGGGACTTAAATCGATTTTTAACATTAATTGCATGAAGTTTGTGTCAAAAATCGACCTTAATCCACAGAGTTTGTATTGAGATAAGTTATTGAAATTGGCAGTTAGACATTTTGGATTACATATTGGTTGAGTATTGATTTCGGTCGTTATTACCGACGCCGCCTCATAACAATGCTTGTATGACGAGTGAGCTTTTCCGGTATCACTCGTGGAGACGAGTCGCGTAGGTATATACATAGCTCACTGGAGAGAGAGGTACGCATATGTTTCCAGGGCGCATCAGTCATGCCATCTTACAGTAAAAGTCTTTATCTAAACAAACAAATTATTATTTTACCAATTGTCATAATTAAAACTACATTAAAGCCATCTACTTCTGTTTTTAAGTACATAATATATTTGTAATATCTTTTTAAAATTCCTTCGACAAACTAGTCGAAATTATTAAAAAAATATTAAAATGAATACGATTATTAAATATTTCAATTATTGAGCAATCTATAATGGTCTTCCATATCAGTCCTACCAGTCAAACATCAACGAATTACCGAAACATAATCACCTCAACATTCAAACGCGAGGCTTCACCCATTAGACAACGGTGCCTATAATGACCTCTAATGCGAAACTAATAAAGTTCACATTTAGAGCAGGCTCACCACAGAAATATTTCTAAGTTACCTGACAAGTTGGTACTGTTAGTAGTTGGCAACAGTTTAGTGGACACAGTCGCGTCGGCCGGTCGTGCGAGAGCCGCGACACCACCGTGAGTAGAAGCCGTACGACGACACGATACGAGCCATTGCCCGCTTGTGACCAGCTTATTGACAGGCAGGATATCTGACCCACACGTAATTGAACAAATCGTCCCTTTTACTCTGTTCAATTGAAAAGATATCGTCGTTGGGAATTATTTTGATATAACCGGTTCCTGTAGGTACCCGGTAGAAATCTAATAGACATAGATACGTGTGGGTGGCTACGGTGGCACTCCGAGGCAGTGGATTTATAAATATATTTTAAATAATTTGTTGTAGAAAATGTCGAAGAAAGTATTGGAATCGAAGCCGAAGGCGAGCGCCAGCAGCGACAATGTGACGGAGACCACTCCGCTGGTGGGCAAGAAGGTGAGCTTTACTGCAAGTTGTTTGTGTTGCTTCACGGCGAGGTCATTGATTGAAGGGCCGACTCCATGTGTAACCGATCCGTGGAAGGGCATCATTCATTAACTCACAATATACGTCACTTACATTCTTCTACCGAATATTTTTGAATATATCTACGTAGCATTCATATTTTTAAAACAGTTCCATAATAATACGTTTATAGAGACTCTCTGTATTGTCATCACCTCTTTATTGAAGCAGAAGCACCGAGATGCGAATGAATCTGTCTGTATCTTACGCTCAGCAAACAAGATATTTCATGTTACTCGTTCAGTCGTTATACACACAGACTAATCAACAGTTGTGCCTATTTCTGAATGTGTTTATTTACTTAGAAAATCCTTTACTCTGATATGAGTTTCCTTTTATTCTGTGACATGATTTTATGACAATTAACACTCATGTTCTTTCATGTTTTGTTTTGAATAAACTAGGTATATGCCTCAATAGATATACCTACTCAGGTTCAGATGACTAAGAATTCAACTAGAGTAGGGTATCCAAAACACCTTATAACTCGCCGATGTCGTGTACTTTTAAATTGTAAATAAGAAGTATTAATAGAGATAATAATTGTATTCATATCAAAAATACCAGATTCAATAACGCATCTACCCGGGGAAGTATTTTGTGAACTCATCCGATTGCGCAATGTAGGTAACCGTAACTTGTTTTGAAACATGTTTTAAATAGATAGGTAACCTCCATAATTTATCAAAATCTACAGAATGTACATTACTACTAATAGGACCATTGTGTAAAAATAACAGCTGCAACATTAGCAAAACAATAAAGATAAAAAATAATCTAGTTTTGGTTACTTAATTTATTAGTTTGACATTTAAATAAAAAGCTCGCAGATTTCTGTATTATAATAAAAATTGCATTAATTAGACACTATAATCCTATTAGATATTCTTTCGCTAGATTCATATCTATAATAAAGAACGTATTTATAGTACAATATGGCGGCTGCCTATAACTAAATACGTTCGTGTTTCTGCCCACCATTAAAATATCCATTATGTTAACAACCTATTGCGCAATATTTACTGGATACAGTTTTTTTTTGTCAGAGTCTGATATAAGCATAAAGATGCCTTGTTTCTATGGTACCTACAAGGCAATTAATTCAAAATGATAATAGGGATCTCTTGTGTGCTAAGATCAGTGCCGACATTAACTGAGACAGTTAATCCGTTAAAAGCAACAGCAAATTTTTTGTTGGTAATGTGAAGAATTTGTATGCCAGGATGGAGATGGGGAGCGCCAGGGTCTGACGATGCAGCAGACGTCCATCCTGATTGCCGGTGAAATGGCTGGCAGCGGTGTGTTGGCACTGCCACGAGCCCTTGTCAAGACTGGTAAGTTTTCGGCGTTAAATCTTAATGTTGCTGAGCGTTAAATAGTTTGCTTGCGCAGTCTTTGTGCTCTAGTTTATGCACACTGTTCCTGGACTTTGGGAACTTTGTGTTCAGTTGTGTATCTGTGGTACAGTCTATGGTTATAATATAGTCTATATAGTGATTAGTCTATCTGTGGTGCGTGGCTGAGCCCGCGAATTTGTAAAAAAGATAAGACGCGATGAAACAGTGTGTCAATAGCCTTCACTCGTTTTAGTTGTATTTCGTCCCCGTACAACATACTGAACTTGGTCTATATGTGGAATATTATTCAACATAGTTAGATAATTAGGTACGACCTATAGATGACATTATGGCAAATGCGATTATCACGAGTAACTGAAATTCTAGGATTGATATGAAGCTTGGCTTGATGTTCCCTTTCAGTTGAAGATAGGAACTAACGTACCTACGTATTTATGATTAGGAATTTGTAATGAACTAATTTGCTGATGACATAATAATATTTCATACAATAATGTCTATGTATTTTGTACTGCTAACTAACAACGTCTCCATTATACTTGTATGTAGATAGGTGTCCAAACAGTGCTCTGGCATTTGTTTTAATTCGCCACCAACTAGATACTCGTGTATGTAAGTTTACTAATCATGCTTAGCGCTTAGTTAATTGATTTAATTGGATTTTAATAGAAAATGTCATAACTTTATTAGGAAACTTGTTCGCTACAAAAACTGCTGACACCCGGTTTAGTTATATAGTTTTTAAGTATCTGAAATTTACAGAATTAATTATCTGCCTACGCAAATATAACACATATTCCTATGTACAGCATATACAACAACAAATATGTACTTTATTATGTATCCGTAGAATACCTATTTCAGGCCAGTCAAAAGTATCGTTTATACATTTTAAGCACATATTAAGTTGTCCTTTGTGCGACTTATCAATAGAACGATTTTTAGGTAGCTGCTGAGTTATAATATTTGAAATAATCAGAGCATTTCGTAAGTTCATTTTAAAAACTCCCATAACTCACTTAAACGTATTGTCACACACGTGTATATTATTGGGGCACGCACAATCATCTTGGCATACCTTTTACACTTCACGAACCTGTTTTTCCTGGGCCTAAAGTTTGATTACTTGTGTTTAATTGATATTTAATACCTATCAATGTTTATTATCAGTAGGCACCAGTTTTTAACGACAAACAAAGCATTATTAATAACACGGCTGCATTAGCAAACGTTTTTAATTGACGACACAGATTACAGCATTGTTATTTTTCTAGCATTGATTAATTCAATAATGCCATTTTTATAACATAATTCGTTGTATTAAATTATATTATTAATAGTTGTAAATGGACACATGTCGCGTCGCAGCACGTCACCTCGCATTCCATTTCGACGCTTGAATCTAAGTTTTTGTCCCACAATATACATAAAGCAGTATAATATTATTTTTACGATTAACTTTATGTAACAGAACGTGTTTAGGTACCTATGCTATTTCGAGAGACCGTGTTCATTTAACTGACAAAATTTCCATAACATTAATGAAATATAAACTTTATACTTACAACATTTTGTCACAAATTCGTAGATTGAACTAAACTTTAGTGATCTCCTAACCGATTTCGGTTCCCTGCTACATCAACAGAGTCGAACTACAAAGGAGGACATTATAGTGCGTAACTTTGTTCCGTAATATACAGATGTAGTCTCTGTTTCTTCTCTTATAAACCCAGTAGGAAGTCGAAACTAAACTGTACATAGTACTAAATATATGAAAGTTTCAGTAGTAAGCTTTCAATTCATTAACTTACACATACATATTTTATATCTCGATTTAGTAAATCGGTTACATCACATCTATCACGATTACATCCACTTTAATTTATTCAGTTCTGGAATCAAAGGCACCAATAATGAGGCGATCGTTATATCCTTTGACGCAGTTCAACTCATTAAAACTACAACAAACATTATTGTGCCTATTTTTGACTAAAAATATTAAAATAACACTTATGACGTGTGCGTCCAATGTCAGTGTAATTTATAGGAATTTAAATGTATGTTTCCAAATATATTCAGATGCTTATAAGTGTGCGTCAAATACGTATAGAACTGACATCCGCTTGCACCTCTGACGTGGTAACTGCACGTCAATATAGTATAATAAATAGGAAGTATGAATCCAAAACAACATAAATATTTATGCATATTTTTTGGATTTAACTAGTATTATAATAGTACCTATCTCGGAAATAGTACGCTGGTTTAGTGCCAACAACCTATTACAAAATGGAACTAAAACTAAATGCATTAAATTTACAACTCCAAATGTTGGACATGTTAAAACCAGTGTGCTCATTAAAGGTGAGGAGTTGAGCCCTGTAGATTCTACTGTCTTTTTAGGTATAACCCTAGACGCTAAGCTCCAGTGGGCTCCACATATAGATAAGTTATCGAAAAGGCTCAGTTCTGCAGCATATGCCGTTAAAAAAATTAGAAAGTTAACCGATGTAGATACAGCGCGATTAGTATACTTTAGTTATTTTCATAGTGTCATGTCATATGGTATTCTCCTATGGGGGAATGCTGCTGACATTCAATCTATCTTTGTTCTACAGAAGAGGGCCATTCGATCAATTTATAATCTTAGTCCGAGGTACTCTCTCAGGGAACTATTTAAAGAAATTAATATAATGACTGTTGCCTCTCAATACATTTATGAAAATGTAGTATATGCTCATAAAAACAAATATTTATTTAAAAAGCATAGTGATATACATAATATCAACACGAGAAATAAAGACAAATATGTTGTTCCCACTACTAGACTAAAGAAAATAAGTGGTTCGTTTAGATGTCAGAGTATACGCTTTTACAATAAAATTCCCAGCCATATCCAAAATTTGAGTCTAAATAAATTTAAAAATGTCATTAAAGATAAATTTTATAGTAAAGCTTTTTATAAAATTAAAGACTACCTAGATGATAGTCTGGCTTGGGAATAAGCTGCTGTAACGTCCACACAGGTCATATTGACATGTTTGTAACATATAGTTACATTTCTTGACATTGTTTTACATATATTGTTCTAACTTGACATTTGCTTTTTCCTTTACAATTGTTAGTGCTAGGACCGTGCGAGACTTTGCCTCACCATTTCTTTTCTAATTATCCATATTCTGACGGTTTGAGTATTTGTGCGACCCACGCAAATGTTCTTTAGGTTGGTATTGTTCGTCGAATCAGTCAGCCTCACCTGTTAATAGAGCCGACTGTAAACCGACACATGCGTACTGCCTTCAGAACGGGTCCGCTCAAACTGTTGTGGTTCTTTCCTCAAAAGGCCACTACAGAAAGAACTTGCACGGTTCTCACACATAATCTATTATACATATTGTCTGGACTTTAAAAGAGACAGACCTCTGAGTTTGTTTCGGCATTTCTTCTCAGAGTAGTCAGTTAGGAAATGTCGACCTCATCGTTCGCTTGATAAAATTGACGTGTAAAAGTGCTGCCTTGTAGCCTATTTGCAGAAATAAAATCACTTGTTTCACTTGTTTCACTTGTTTCACTTGTTAACATTCGGCAGGGCCTCGGACGGAACACGGTTATAGTAGCCTAAGTTCAACTTCATTTCCAGAGACGTCTAATTAAGTGTCGTCAACGACCAGATTATAGCAAATAGATCTTTTCTGTGTTATATCTTAAGTTATTGTAAGTTAAATACCTAATAAAAGCTTTTAAATATTACAAAGTAATTGTCCTATGTATGGTGGTGTGTTTGCTTTCTGTTGCATGTTTGGTCTGAAATAAAGATAACTCTAAATATTAATTAACAAGGTTTCGTCCAACTTGGTTAACACTCGGTCGAGGGTTTAATGTGGAAATCAATAACTGATTTTAATCGAAGATCTCTCGATTGGTTTTAGTATTTGACACTCCTTAAAGTGTACCTATGATAAAAATTAGTAAAACTTGGTCTGTAGCCTAATGTGGCAAGTGGAGTAGCGTTTGGCTAGAGGCACTGTTCTCAAATTGAAGTTCCTTCGTTTAGTGTAACCTGCGAAACACCATTGTGTTTTATATTCGTATTTTTCATAGTCTACAATATATCTAGACAATATTAATGTACCTATAGCCGTGCTTGAATGTGTGTGTGTGAGATTCGCGTCCGCCTAACGATCGTCGCCTTCACTCCGCTATCAGCAGCCATCAGTCTGATCATCTGATAAGATAATCCATATTTGCATAATTTGCGAACGAAATCTGATACCGATGAGATCTGTCCCCCACCACGCGTTGTTTATTACTAGAAACCTATTAGAAATCTCGACTGATCACTCCTATTAGGACCGATCTAAATCTTTTCAAGTTTTAGCTAATTAAAGATAAAATATTATTTAAATACAAAGTAATAAAGCTGAGCCTTGTTTGTCACAGCTCTACTTATTATAAGATCAGTTGAAGTAATCACGCGCATAAAAATACACGCATTTTGTAGACGACCGTATTGATTTAGTATTTAGTATTCTGTGACTTTGTGTGTAAAGTGTAACTGAAAATGTAAGGACCGGTTTCTAATCTTTTTTGTCAAATAGCAACCCCCTGACAGATCTCCGCAAAGTCTATAAGTCGAGACGACGCAGCTGCGCTTGGTTTTTGCTTTCTATTGGGTCTCAGCTACGGCAACAATCTTATTTTAATATCAAAATGTAAAAATCTATAAAACATATTTATAAGACAGTCGATCGAATCACTGATTGAATATTCAGCTTCGCAGATGTCCGTCTCGTTGGTCAAAACGAAAAACAATATCAGGTTGTATAAAGTAGGTTGACCTTGGTAACTAACTCATGCGATATTTCCATATAAATATATTTTCAGACATCAAACTCGAATATAGTGGTTTATGATTGCATGAATATGTTATCAATGCAAATGTTAAGATCATCAGCATACGAGATAAGTGACCGGTTCAAGGCCTCCGACATTTGTATCTCTCCTGCCGCGCGACTTGTGATAGCTCTCCAAATTGTTTATTTCCATTAAGTTTATCTATATTGGCTACCTATGTAGGTATTTCATATTTCGTTGCACCATCGACAAACTTAAGATAAAAAAAAATATTTCTTGAGTGATCTAAGTAGCACGTACACGTACAAACGTAGTAGTCCCGTTCAAATTAATAATATCGCATCCTAATTGCTACATATTTTAACATAGTTAATATGACGTAACGTGGTTTACTGTCGCAGATATATAATGTTAGATGTACCTACTTCAACCGTGACTTGTCACACAGTTCCGATTTTCAATTCATATAGGTATTAATACTATGCTCAGAATTAAAGCCGTTGATCGGCTGTCGCGATCGTGAAAATTCGACCAAACTCGTTATGGACTCTGTAATTAATGGTCCATTAGTAAAATAATATATTTGGTAGGCACTACTGATTTTAAAATTAGGCACAGTCTAGTCACTGAGCTGAAAAAAGTAGAAAAACAGTATCAAATCACTTTGATATCGTCTGGCTAGAGGCTGCTGGCCTTCAGAGAGCACGGTATTGTATTTCACACTTGTCACACGTCTCCTGCCAGTTGATGGCCACGGTCCCTCAGTCTGTGGTCACCGGCTACAGATGTAGCCACCACCGGCTATATACTTGGCCAATTAACAAACTGGTTCTTCTACTTTTTGTGCATTTTTCCATCGTCCGACCAATACGTTGGTATAATTAGACATTTGATTCGTGTTACAAATCTGACCTTGTGTTCTACTAATAAACCAACATGTCTATAAGGTTCTATGATTATACTTGTTTACGAACATAGTGTAGGGTCAATGTCCTAAACAATGTATAGTTGAGGGCATTTTTCTTCAAAAAGATCTAGTTGCACACATGTTGCGAACCAAACCTCATTAAGTATGGCAACAAATGTTTCGGTGTCTTTAATGCTAAATAATACAAGAACTGTTTACTATATTGGGTAGTATTTTGGATTTAGGATCATTATATAAATATTTATAAAATATTGTATTAATATATTTATTCTATTGGTATTTATGTGTGTAGTATACATATTACATAACTTTTTTTTTTTTTTTTTTTTCTGGCTTCGCGACCACTTCATTTCTCTGCACTTCCCTATGGTTGACTGTAAGAGATTGCCTTAAGGCATTAAGTCCGCCATTCACGGTATTTTGTGAAGAAGAAATAAATAAATAAAAAAATAATATTATATTATTTAAAATTGTGTATTTGCCTGATACCTGATTTAATTGTAAATGTTTCTGATTGCAGGATGGGTTGGTGTACCAATCATCATTCTGGTCTGCCTGATGGCCGCATTCAGTGGCAAGAGGTTGGGTGACTGCTGGTCCATTCTGGAATCCCGGGACCCAGAGATGAGGTCTCGGAAGAGGAACCCTTACGCGATCATCGTGGAACAGTCACTCGGCAAGGCCTGGAGGTATTAACTTATTTTGTAATAAAAGAAGCACAAGGTTTAATTTTGTAGGAATTCACACTGAAAGATGTAGTAATTTCAGTAATCCCTGATAGACCTTAACCTTGGCGCAATTATTATCTCCTTTAATCGACTGTAAGTTTAATTGAACCCGACATTTATGTAGTTAAGATATTTTTGTATTGTCATTATTTTGAGATTATATGTCGTATGATTTTAATAATTGCTCCAAAACATTTGAAAAATATCATGTCGTACTGGTAGTTTACATCACGACAAACAAACAAACCATTTTTAAAAGCTATCACCACTTAGCACCAGATGTGGTCGTATTTCATCATCATCGCCATTTATTATTGTTTGTTAGTGTGGTGGTATCGATGGCCATGATCGTGACCCTGTTCGGCGCCTCCGTGGTGTACCTGCTGCTGGCTGCACAGATCATCGAGGCGGTGCTTCTCTCCCTGGTGCCTTCCCTCACTATCTGTACCTGGTACCTCATCGTTGTCGGCGCCATGACACCGCTGCTCTTCTTCGGAACGCCTAAAGATTTCCAGTAAGTAGTACAATTTGTTTTGAGAAAACTATAGTGTTTGACCATCAAAAAGTAAACGTGATACGTTTTATGCAAATGTTTGTATTTGTATCGATATATCGCTAAAATTAATACAAATACTTCCAGTTTGATGGGTCTCCTTGCCTTCGGATCCTCCGTGGTCGCCTGCATTTTGTACTTCATCGAGATGATGAGCGAGGCCTCACCATTCACCTACCGTTACGGCATCCACGGATTCATGGACTTCTTCCTGGCGATGGGAACCCTCATGTTCGCGTTCGGAGGAGCCTCCACCTTCCCCACCATACAGAACGACATGGCAGACAAAACCAAGTTTGGGAAGAGTTTGCAGTACGGCTTCCTTGGTAAGTTTTTGTTGGAAACTTACTTGTGTTTTAGGTCTACTTAGTCACCGGTAGTATTTCGCTAAATTTAATTTAATTAGTTGGTTGTTTACTGACGTGTATATCTTTGGTCCACCTCCAGCTGTGCTTATTCTGTACCTGTTGATCGCCATCGGAGGATACGCAGTGTTTGGAGAGCGAGTGCTGCCCAACGTGGCGCTCTCTATGGCCGCCACTCCCCTTACGCTGGCGGCTAACGTGCTGATGGCCATCCATCTGCTGGCCGCCTTTATCATCATCATCAACCCCGTCTGCCAGGAGGTCGAGGAGCTGTACAATGTACCCAGAGGTTCGTTACGAGTTTATTATAATTGTTAAATATTGAGAGTATTTACATTGAATGGAGAAATTCATTATTAGCCTCTTGACTGTCGGTATACAAGGCTCCATAGAAAATAAATTGTGTCTCGTGTGTATCTGCGTTCCGGCACACGAGAGGTTAAGCACACTAATGTAATTGATTTGCAGATTCGGTTGGATGGCGCATGGCAGTGCGCGTGTCTATAATGCTGGCCCTTCTCTTCATTGGTGAGAGTATCCCGCGGTTCTACACCATCCTGGCGCTGATCGGAGCCACCACCATCGCCCTGCTCACCTACATCCTGCCCTCGGTCTGCTACCTCCAGCTCGTCAACCAGCCCGCCGCTGAGGGACAGGCACCCATGTGAGTTTCTTTACCTAAGTCCAAAATTTCGGCCGCCCAAGAAAACTTAAATTTCTTTTTCCACTAGTAGCGTCCCTCATTATGAACTTCATTAGTTGTATTTTTTGTAATGAAATTAATGATTGATATTGAAACATATTTATTTCCATAAATAATGACGTGTACATTGTGATGGCAGCGAGACGCCCGGCTGGATGAAGATGGTGTGCTACGAGGTGATAGCGCTGGGCATCGTGGGCGGCGTGGCCGCATCCATCAGCGCCTTCGGAGCCATCTTCAGCACGTCGATGGCAGTGCCCTGCTACTTGTGATCGCGCACAATTCTCATACGTCAGCTCTACAATAGATATACGTCACTATGCATAGTTAGCAACATTTTTTATATCACAAGAGAGTTTCTACATAGTCAGAGTGAGCTGCCGTTAAATCTGTTAGTTGAAACATTCTCGTGACTCTAGGCCCCTTGTAACGCTATTGTAGTGTAATTGTGTTTACTGAGCGCTTGGTCAGCCAATCAAAGAGTCGTAGAATGCTGGTAGATGTAATAAGTAACCATGTTAGACTAGTCTAGACTTACGTATCTACTTACTTTTAAACACATTGTCTGTTAATTGAATATACGAGAGAAGGGACTCCTTAGAACACAGCTTTGTAATAACCACAACGCGATTTGTTGCTACACTGCAGCAGCAATTGCATCTTTATGAAATCGAAATATTAACCTGTTATCATTCTTTTGCTGTAAAACGAAAAGTAAAATCAAAACAAACCACCAATCACGTGTACCATGAAGTTGTTCCATAATAGTGTGAAACTTAAGATTTTTCAATCAAATTGACTTGGTGCTGCCTTCTCTCGAAGTAAATATAATATTTTGTTACTTTTCTTATGTTTTTAATTTTTAGATAAATCATAGACATATTAAGACAAATTTTTAAACAAACATTTTGCACAATAATATAATCGCTAATGAACTTGTTTCTTAGTGAATTATCACTAGGGGTGCGCCCGTGCACTGCACTTTCGTACCGATACGCATTTACTGCCACTGCACAAACACGGAGTGTAGGTACCACCCACACTAATACAACAACACACACACAAACATTACAACTATCTCGTGCTAATTAAGTTTATTAACTTACTCTCTGTTATCTGGAACCGTTTCGCTCTGTTACGCTTCAGAATGCAAAAAATCATAGTTCAATAAACGGTTTATATTAAGTTTAATCTTTTGTGTTATTTTATATTTAAGTGAGTTCCTCTCTCCCCCATGTGACAATTTGTTTCTGGGCCACCTTTTTCGGTGTTGACTAAGTAATGAATTGGGGCGAACTGTCCGCTGTAAAGCTGGACATGAACATGGTCCCGGGTCACGCAGGCACCACTTGACAAACATTTAGATTTCGCGTGAGATGTCTTTTTTGACTTCATTCCTTCTCTGAGATCCTTGGGTACAGTTTCCGTGAATGCCACACAAAGCTCCAGCTGTGCGAAGGTAATTCTGGCTTTGGCAATCCGTAAAGCTATATTATTATGTTCTTTACTCCTAATCGTTCTCGTCTCTGCGACGACGTACCTGTGATAATAATAAGTAAAAACTAGAGGAAGATCGAGACATGTTGGAATTAAGTAGGGAAAAATAAGTATCGACACTGTTATGGCCGAGTTTAGGTCATTCATCATTGTCAGTCTTGTAAGAAATATAAAAAAAACAATATTTTTTTATTGTCAGAGATATTTCCTTAACCAAATGTGTTACTTACTTAGAAATGATTTAGCGCCTACTGCCTTGGTGGTCGCGAGAGCAGAATTAGGGCTCCTACCAAGCTTGGGCTTCGTGTTGGATTTCCGGATCGAGCAAAGTGTTATGGAGTCAGGAACAGTCTTGCCTTCTTGTTGTGATGGACACACAGCAATAGAATTATTGGCAAAAAGAATACTATTATGTTGTTCATGTGTAATTGTGTAAGCTTGAAAGTGCAAGTCTTAAACTTACTAATTTTAAATTAAAAGTCGTGACATTACATAATGTATTTCTGACAAATACATTGCAAGATTACATGACACTACTTACATATAATATGTTGTAGGTACAAGATACACACGCCGCGACCCCCAGCAGGGTGTCGTCATACTGATAGCGCTTATCTCCCGAGGACGACACATTGTCAAAGACATCTGTGTCACTTGACTCCGAGGTGTAATATAGGTTCATAATAACACATTTAGTGTCGTTACTGAGATACTGGACATGATCGTCTATACTAGACCACAGCGACCACTTACATCGCTTACTTATTAGCGATTCAAAATAAATAATATTTTTAGGTACAACCACGAATTAGTACTTACGGTGACGTACAATACTGACAGGAGGTTCATCACCCTAAAATGTTTTTCAACGTTACACCTTCTATTTTCCAAAGGGGTTACCTGAGATAGGTATCTCATCTACCTAGGTAGGTATATGCATATTACATTTTAACCCCGACTTATTTTTCGTCACCCTGTTTGTCTCACGTCTCACATCAAGTGAGGCCAACGCAGAAGTACTGGGATTGTTATTTTATACGATTTTTAGCAAATATCGGACAGTCGAAGAATTTTATTTATGTGTGTTGGCTATATAAGTATCCTTTCTTAAACCGTAGCGCGCGATGTCACCATTGAATGAAGAGTTACTGTGTAGGTACCAGATAATATTTTGTTTAATGTTGATTGCTGATTTAGTAAGAGTATCAAGCTAAATGTTGCAGCTACTTCCTTTTACCAGATTGTAATGATTCCTATGCGTTTGCGTTTGCAATCCTCATCGGTCTGGGAATCAATACCCAGTCCAGGTACTCGGTACTTCATTTACTAGGAAATTAGCAATTCCACTAATTCGTGTTTGTGTAGAAATATATTATGATATTTATCTGCGCTTAAGTGGAACTACTGTTTATATGTACGAAGTAATGTGAAGTGATAACACTAGTGCTCTGCGCACGCGCCGGTCCACACTGCTGCACGACGCGCCGACCTGCGCGAACGACACTACGACACTTTTCCTCCACGACTTAGGTAAGCTGTATTCCGAAATAATTACAGAATATTTTAGAAGTAATATTTTGTAGAAGTGCCTCCAGGCTTAAAATATATTTGTAGGATTTTGTAAGAATGTAAAATATTTAATAATTAATTTGCCATGTGGCTGCGAATGATAGACTGCTTTTCATGTACTATTACTTAAGGCTCATATAATTATACAATTCTATATACCCAAATGTCTTTATAAGTGTTAATATGCTTGTGATATTACTGTTCAATTTTTTTAATGATAGTAAAGAACCCGTTTTTACGGGATGGAGGCTCCATCCCTAGTCGATTGCCCCCATCATGAGCATTCAACCTAAAGACTTGATAAATAACTTGATGGTTCGTTTTTTCAGAAATTATCTGAAATTAACTGATTCAGCTCACTTTGCATGTATCTTCATTATATTTATTCAATGGTAGTGCCGATGGAGATGATGAAATATACTAACACAATGATATAAAAAGGTCGTCATTACGAGTTCTCTGTGTAAAACCTGCTGATGCTCCAAGCTGCGAGGCTGCGAGGCTGCGAGGCTGCTGACGTTGATAAACAGTTGTTAGTTTCAGTTAACCGGCAGTAATGGTGGTGTGCAGCGTGTTCCGCGTTACGTCACGGCTGGCCCGCAGCAGTCTCGGCGCGCAGTGCTGCGCCCGCGCACTTTACAGCACGGAACACAAAGGTAACACACCTTCAAAGAATTATCTGTATTTAGCGTGCGCTGTTAACTATAGCATTGCTTACATCTGATTACACCCTGCCTCGGTTCACGCAAAGCAAGAATGATAACTACAAACTAATGACTTACAAACACATCACTATAATGTTGCTTAATGATATTGACCTTAACTTTGTCTCATTTAGGCCAAGATCCAGTAAACATTAGTCGTCATTACAGGACACTTGAAATATGTTTCCAATCGAACGTTGCGTTTTCAGTAGAGGTGCTTTGTAAAGTAGGTTTATTAAGTCCGAGTTATCAACAAGCCGGGTGATGTCCGAGGGATTCAAGATCACGACCTCATTTAGTTAGTGATTGTTCGCATTGAAAAAGTTCCAATAAATAGTTAATACGTATCAGTTATCAGTAGTGGTCAAGAACATTACGCAACGGTCGCCTGGTCGCCTGCCACTATCGCACCCTGCCGAGTCTCTTGCAAGTGTCGCGGCTCGTTGCGAAACTCTCTCAATACTGCTCTGTTATGTTACAAACAACATCACGTTGACGTCACGTATCTAGCTGATAGTTCAATGTGATAGTTGTAGCAACTAATCATGATCACTTATTTTTGTTTTACATAAAGTACCTAATGTACTGATAAAAGCTCCAGCGCCCTGGCGAACGTATTCCATACTTGTTACCTGAAAAGCGAATGTTTGATGTTTTACGGAGATAAGTGAAAGCTGTGCTAATTGTATCTTGTAGAACTTGTAGCGTAATTAGTCAGGAACGTCAGTCACCTGACTGCAAACTGATATTGACAAACATAGAGTATAATAAAAACGACAGCCTTGAGAAAAACAATTTAATTATGATTTCGAAATCGACATAAATGTGATCTTGCTTAAATTACCTAGACCAAGTTTGATATTTAGCTAAGAAGTTGCCACCCACTGCTGGCAGGAATATGACCAAGTAACGACAAGTACTGCACTCAGAAGTACAGGGACCGAACAAACGCTTACTTAAAAGAAGAGTATAGTCTGTATAGTTCTAATGCCCGGTTTCACCTACCTCTACTAAATTTTAAGAAAACCCTGAGCTAAAATAGGTGACTTTTAACAACGTTTTAGCTTTCACCAACCTATAAGTGCCACCTAATAGAAGTAACAGTACGTTTAGATGCCACGTCACGCTAAGTAACTTTTAGTCAAGATTTTATCTTGACGATTTAACTGGTGACTCTTCTCATTAGAAAAATAGGTGACAAATACGTAGACCAAAGGAGGACACTCGTGCTTGAACCAATGGGGCCTACCGAATGTTTGCTCACCAAATGGGGCTAGTGTGGACCTCTTGTTCTTCGTCCAATAGGAAGTTAGCTAGAGTCACACCATTGGACATTAAATATTTGATTGTATTTTTTGCGACATGCACGCCACAACCTCCCAAAACCGCTGCAACTCCTGTAAGCCAGGATCTACTGTAGATGAAAACACCGGAACACTGAAGTCCGGCGCGGCCCAGAGACAGTAATAACTGTCTTGGTTCCCACAACGAAATGAATCAGAAGTTGTTATAAGAGGAGAAGAAAAAACGACAGTATTCAGTTCCTTCGGTGATACAATATTTGACAGCTGCTGTGATTGAACAAAATACCCGTGATGGCGAAACAACGTTAGTCCCCATTGTGACATGTCCCAAACTATATTGTAGACTTTAACCATTACACTATTATTATAGAAAAGGTTAAGCAGCATGTCCATTGTCCATGTTGGCTATACTTATGGCGATTCAATGTCAAGTTTAAAGAAGGCCGGGCTTCGAATGTCTAGTAACTAGTATTTCTTGAATAATACCTAGATTCTAAATTCAAGGGAGTCTGCGCAATATGCACTTTATTTGTAAGCTTACACTGTACACTTTGTACCGTCCGTTTATTGAATTTTTTATTGTTTTGATTTCAGCTCGGTTTTACACAAAGAAACACGAGTGGGTGTCGGTGAGCGACAACATCGGCACTGTCGGCATCTCCAGCTACGCACAGGTTCGTATCACATTCAAAATATTTATTAAAATACACTCACATACAACAAAAAGTGAAAATGTCTATCGGTCAGTCTGTCCGTTAGTGAAGCTAGGCGATTTGCTATTGATGAAAGTATTCTAAAACAATCCTGAAGAAACTGTTTAAAGGATTAAAAGACAGAAGGCGCTTTAAATCCAGTCTTAATGATATGGATCTACCTTATATCTATACTAATATTATAAAGAGGAAAGATTTGTACCTATTTTTCTGTGTTTGTATGTTTGTAATGAATAGGCTCAAAAAGTATTGGGCCGAATTAAAAAATTGAGAATGTTACATTCTTCCAATTTGACATAGGCTACATTTTATTTTGAAAAAAATTAGGGATCCTTGGTAAAATTTGAACAATGTAACCGAAGGTGTAGGAAAATGAGTCTTAAAATGTCTTTCGTCGAATGCGCTGCCGAAACTATTAGCGATAGAACAAAATAATGTAGAACAATATTGAAGAACAGCATCATGTCTACAAAAAATTTCGCGGTAGCATATGTCCAACTATTGTAGTTATGTCACTACAACAATCCAAATTTCCAAAAATATATAATTGTCTACCCCGTGCGATGTCGGGACGGGCTGCTAGTTTAACTATAATCTTATTTAGCAATTTTAAACTTGTTTTTATTAAAATTAATTAAAATAAAAATTATGATACGTTGTATTTAGTTTGCTCCGTTTTTTTGTTTGGGTCATTAGTAATTGGAATTTTATCCTCTTCCTAACGTTAGATCGATTTGACATTTGGTACACACCTTTTCTAGCTAATTTTTCAACAACTACCTCCACTATGAATATCAAACGTAACGTCATATAAACACATATAAACTTCTGATTATACCTACTTAATAATAATTGAAAAATAATACAAATAGGTTATTTTTTACAATCGGTGTTCGAGAAAACAAACAGAGAGAAGAAAACGCTTTTGAAACAACCTTTCACGTAACATCACGCCTTTTATCCCCGAAGGGGTAGACAGACGTGTACATTATGCCACTGTACAATGTAACACCCACTTTTCACTATTTATGTAATGAGTCCTATGTAATAGGGGGTGAGAACAACCTTTCATTCTTCAAATTATTCTGAAATTAGCGTAGTTTCCTCATGCAGTCCAGTAGTCCTTTGGTACACATAATGTTAAGAATGTGTCAACGCATTCTTAATATTATGTACTAGTTTCTTATGTTGCTGCATGTTTGTTAATAACAATTAATAAAAATGGTTTTAATTTTCCTGGAAATATTAGCAAAGTTGTATTTTCCTTACAACTCATTGTCGAAGCTAACTTGCGTCATTCGAGTCTATCGTTTGGTGAATAGAAGCACCTATATAGATAAGTTTTGTAACAGTTAGTGAACCATGGCACGTACTGCTCTGTACCGGATAAATCTGTGTATTAGAGGTCAACTGAAATGATGACAGGGGCGCAAGATTCGCAAAGCGCGAACATTGACGCCGGCAGCTGTGCCTGTACGTCCGCAGCACAATGTCAGCAGATTAGGTACTCATTACCCGTTATCACCAGTAGCCGTTAACTTTGTTTCTCGGCTCTCATAACCCTATCGAGCGAGTAATAGTAATAAAACAACAAACATGAACATTATTATCTAGTTATTTCTAAAACTCAGTCGTTAGATTTCAGATTACATGGGTGTTATTGTTAAACAGGGTTTACGATTTATTCAGCTTCCATTCTAGAACTTTGCTTTATTCACTAGTTTTAAAATGAAAATATAAGTTATTTACTTATATGGCTGTATGTTGTTTATCCCTGAGTAGGATACCGTTACAATGAACTCTAAATACTAGTCTGTCTTTAATTAGTTTATTATCTCCTCTTAATGTAAATGATAAACTCATCGGGTAGGTAATATTACTGAGTTGACCTGGACAACTTGCGAGTACTATACTAAAGTCAGAGTTTCGAATACCTAATCATTTGTTGATGTCACCTTACCAAACAATAACATCGGTACCAATATTGTAGCTAAATACTGACTCATGACTGATGCAGTACTATTTATCTACACCAGCATCTACCAAGATTCAGCTGTACTATTACTATCTAATGGCTATACTATTAAGACATAAGCTCCATAGCTTTGTCTTTTATTTTCATTTTCCACAGATAGTTTTATGGGACTGACCGTTGATGGGCAGTGCCGCCGCATCCTGGTATACCTACATGGTTATCTAAAAGAATGGTTTAGTCAGCATGCACTTCGTAAATTTGCAGGACGCGTTGGGTGAGGTGGTATACGTGCAGCTGCCGGAGGTGGGTAAGCAGATCGCGGCCGGGGACGAGTGCGGTGCCCTCGAGAGTGTCAAGGCAGCCAGCGAAGTCTACAGCCCAGTCTCTGGCACCGTCAGTATCTCTCTCATTATACATTGTTTTACTATATGAGTATCGCGACCTGAAATCCGTTTATTCCGCATTTCACTCTTCTGATTGCAAGCAAGTTTCGGTCACAGCAAAAGATTGTTTAAGTTGTTATCGAGGGGCTTGCTTTTCAAAAATCGTTGATGATGATAAGAACATCGCCGAAGCAATCGGATCACTTGAGCCGGGTATCACACACTAACTACCGATGAAAATTTAATTTCTAAGAAATCTATATGAGACCGTCTATTAGTTGTGTATATGTGACACACAATTTAACACATATTCAATATCAATCAAAAAGTGTTCGGTGTCGGTATCACTCTCTACCTTGTCAAACAAAGGGTGGTATCAAAAAAACTCGTGCACTCTCATTTATATTATCCAGGGGCAACACGAAATTTATAGAGTTCGTAACAAAGCAATAAACTCAACAAAATCGTCGAATTTATTTATTTTCGGGATCCATAGCAGATTACGTGTCCCTGAGACGCGCCGGATTTCAATGTTCCGATGTTCTATTGATTGGGTATAAGTAGTAGTCGCTAGGATTCGAAAACAACAACGAGCTTGTATCATAAAAATATTGTAGCTGACTCGTGCCAACATTAAAATAGACTCCATGTTAACTTACAGATAACAGAAACGAACAAAGAAGTGGAATCTAAACCAGCGCTCATCAACAAATCTTGCTACGAGGAAGGCTGGCTGTTCCGCGTGAAGCTGGCGAGCCCCGAGGAGCTGCAGCAGCTGATGGACCAGGCCGCCTACGACAAGTACCTGGAGGAGCACTGACCAGCCACCCAACTTAGATATAGGACCGTATTTATACTGTTGTTGTATTTCCTTGCATTCCTCTACTCACACTAGCTGTAAGTTGTGTCCACATAAACAAAACATCAACCCTAGCTCTGGATGTGGCTACTCCTGCCACGAACTGTTCTCGATGTCATTGGACCGTGCCTCTCAATAATATCAACTGATGCTGTGAACTTCCTGCAGAGGCTCTCTATACTCATAGTGTGTTATGTAAAACTAGGTATCTTATTGCATGTAATGTGTTGTGATAATTAAAGATTTCTTATTGCTTTTATTGTTTATTTACCTTCTTTCTAAAATGGTAAATACAAAATGATTCGGTAATTCGTATTAGCCAGGGTTGAGGAGTATCTTTGAAGAATCTAGACAATGGTCTATGAAATGACCTTAACAATAAAAACAAAAACTGTAATAGATTACAAATCAATCAATATAATATATGTTATGCACATGATTAATAACGTACTGTTATAACCAATTACACACGATATAAGTAAAATAAAAAGCAACAAACTTGTATGTAATAACATTGTAAATAAATTAAAAATACAAGCAATGCGCAACCTAAGTAAAAGTATACAGAGGGTTCACTTAAGCGCGGAGGCGCCGGATATGATTTCAATAAGCTCCCTGGTGATGACAGCCTGCCGCGTCCTGTTGAACAGCAGCGTCAGCTTCCTGATCATCTCATCAGCGTTCTTAGTGGCGTTGTCCATGGCGGACATGCGCGAGGATTGCTCGGAGGCAGCGCCCTCCTTCAGCGCGTAGTACAGCAGCGCAGCCAGCGTCCACTCCGCGTAGCTCTCCAGCGCCTCAGCATCCACGTCATCGAATGCCAGCATGTTCGGCGCAGTCTGTCACAGATTAACTCATACGTCTCATAATTCAAGTAACTAGGCTGTAGCCAGTGACTATCACCTCTCCAATCTTCCACTCACAATGTTATTGTTATAGTCTCACTCGGTGTGACAATGATGTGGAATTACTAGAATACTCAATCTTCTCTACACAGATTTTGACAGAAAATGAAAAAAGTTGATTGTTCTATGATCAGGACATCATAGTATTATTTTAGATTACAGGTTTACTGCCTTAACTTATTCAAACACAACAAACAACCAGTTTGGCCACACATACACACACAGTATACATTGTATTAATGCTGATTGCTGACTTACCTCAATCTTCTCCTTGGTGAATACGGGCACGACGGTGAGCTGGTACTTGACGGGGGAGATGTACTTGTTGTAGTATATCTCGCCGATGTCGTAATAGAATCCAGCCTGCGTTATCACGGCTGCTATCAGAGACGCGTCCGCGAACCCTGGTGACAGTCGACCCACCTGCGTGTGTGGCATGGACATTTATAACATTATCTCAAGTATTCGTACTTATTATAGGATCGTAAGATGGAGCGTAACCTATATTGTATACTCAGGATGAAAAAGACGGATGTTAAAAGATTGTGATGTGTACCGAATAAGGAAATGAGAAATGAGTATGTTTGGGAAAACTGAAAGGGTCGTTGGTTACGTGGAAAAGTAGAAAGACAATTGTGTCTGTCGGTATGGAAATCTTCTTGGTAGCACATCTCGTGAAGAGATGTTAATCAAGTGGCGGAATCAGTATTGAATTTTTGAATGGATGGAAAAGAAGATAATTATCAAGATAGATTGTCTGAGGAACGAAATGACACAGTAGAAGAAATCAAATAACTGTTCTTGATAGACTGACCTTTGATTAGAGAGAATAGAAGATGATTAATTTGAGGATTAATAATTGCACAAAATTGTTTGCTATAGTATGAAAAATAAGGTCAGATCAGGATGAAATGCTTAAAAGTAGTATTAGGCTATAAGGTATTGATAAGGAGTACGCACATCTCTGACGCTAACGAGCATGCTCTGCGAGTAGACTCGGCGCAGGATGGCGCGGGACTTGTCTCCCACGCAAACCAGCTTGTGGAATTGTCCGTCAGCCGCGCGGTCCGTGAACTCACGCTTGATGCGCCGAGCCACGCCGGTGTGCACGCCGCCGCATAGTCCTGTTACAATGAACATAGCAACTTGCTCAGTTTTGCAGTGGAATGTGTGCGTAGACGTAGTGGAACAGGCGCTTTTATTCAGTTAAGTTATTAGTTATTTGACACGGATTTACATACGTTCCATCAATTTATCGAACAAAGCAAATTTAATACCACACATTATAGGATACCGAAAAACAGCAGGCGCCTGTTTTACGTGGAAATGAGAGCTAGTTTCAAACAAATCTTTTAATTCATATACTTAGCAGTCTAGCAGACACCAGCCTGGCAGCACCTACGTTGACTTGGCAGCCACTGACCATAGTGCTACAATGTTCAAGAGGTAACTACATTGGTTATGACAATTGCTCAAAAGCTTCCCCAGAATGTGCGAATATAGAAGAGATCATGTGGAGGCGGCGTGAGGCTGTGCGCGCCCGCCTGCACGTGCGCGCATGCACGGCTTGCACTCTTTATCACTCGCAGCGCGCAGGGGCCAATGATAAAGAGATAGATCATCTTTTCATATTAAAAACATATCTTCTTCCAATAAGACATATTGTAAGTTATTTATAAAAGTTAGGTTACGGTGTCATGGTCTTTCCTTTAGATCTCCTGGAAAACACTATCTCGTTGGGATAATATAATTTTGTTTTACAGACGTTGCCTCACCCTAGGATTTTCTGCTATACCGTGACGTGGGTGCATTTGTAAACATACAAGTTCATATACACATAACCTCCAGACCCGAAAGACCAATTTATTGATCACACAAAGAGGTGTTCCGGACCAACCGCGCAGTCATCATGAAATAACATGCTTCTCACTGGTGCTTTCGAAATGTATGTTATTGGTCCCGCTGTCTACAATCATGATACATCTAAATGTTTCCTGTTAAGTTTCTTAGAACAAGAGGTATATGTACCGCGGTCAGTGTAACGTCAATAGAAATAAAAAACCCAGACTGTATCCGTACATTGCCTACAAAACCTTATTAGCCTCGAAGTAGATAACGTAGCATATCCATTCGAATGTATGTAAGTGTACACAACTACGTGTTTATTTACTAAGAAATCATTATTGTCGTGTCGGTGTATGTGAAGCAGCTTGTAATCGCGGGTTGGTAATTGCGTTCTAATTCTAATCCTTGTGGAACGTATTATTTTAATGACAGTCCATTGACGAAAACTTGATCTTTATTGCAGCAGACAGACCACTCGTCAGATAGTAAACAGAATTACATTTTATTGATAACTATTTAAAACTCGCTCCGGTTTCCGGTAATCATTGAGGTTCGCTGGCTACCATACCCGGTGTGGTGGAATTACTAAGCCATATAACAAATGTAGGTACACAGTATTGGGAAAATGCACAAATATTATGTTCTATCACATTATAAATAAAGTTTTAAATAATTACATTCAGATATTTTTATTTCTGGAAATCTATCTAATCAGACCATACATTTTTTGAATAAGACAAACAAGCAGATATTTCGGATTAGCAAAATTTTTAGAGAAGGTACTCCTACACTTAGGTTACTCTCACAATTAGACACAGTTAAATAAGGCTATCAAAGAGTAAAACAAAATAATAATCTTTTATCAAGAAGTAATCAAGTAACTAAGACAATACATATCTGCTGTCTGACCCTAACAGAATCAGAAAAATAGAGACACTGTTTTTTCTCTGGATCTGAATGTAGAAAATTGAATTCTGAGGTCTGGGCCTTATAATATTAATTAAATTCATTTCTTAATTTGTTGGTATTACTAATTGGATGGTTTGTATACGTATAATTATATTACAGTAGGTACATGTAAATACGCAAATAATACCGTGAAAGTATTTGGGTATGGCCGGCGGCGGTCGATGCGCCGGCGCGGGTACTGTGATCCACCGATAACCTCTTAGCTGCCGAACTGTGCGTATCTGGCACCGCCTGCGCCTGCGCCGCGAGCCTCGCGTCCACTCTTATCACACCGCTTGTTTTTCTTACGCTCCAGTTTCATTGGTATTGACATTTATGAGAAAATGTTGTTAAACATGAGTTACCTACCAGTATCAGTGAACAATCTGGAAGGATGGTCAATACCCGCTTCTAAATAGATTGTTTTATACCTCTAAGTCTTGCGAGTTTTTTATTTAATAGAATGACATGCCGTTTTGTTATATGGCGTATATCGCTTCTGAGGATAAATATAAATTAAAAAAGAGGTTATCACGCGAAACCCTTGGCCGACTTCTTGGCTCGATATCAGTTTATGTCGACCCCAATGCATCCCTTTCGGAAGCTTCGATTAAGGAAAATATTGCGACGTGGCCTTGAACCGACACAAAGTAATGATGCAATAACTTAATTGTTTGCAAAGACACGAACAATGATACGAAATCGTAAGTCAAGTAACTTCCTCGTTTATTGATCTAGCTTTAAAATTGTAGTTCAGTGACCACCCGTACTGGGACAGTTCCCATTTCTCTGCCTGGCCTAATATTACTATTAATACTTCGAGGTTGATATTATATTTATTAGAATCTTTAGTATAAGTTTTAATAAGTAGGAGAATCGATATCGTGTTAAGAAATAAAGAACTGAAGAAGTTATCAACCGACGGTAGGACGATAGGTACTGAATAAAATTAAATGGGTTACCTCTGTCCGAAGTCATGGCAATGTAAATCCTCTTCATCTTCTTGTCTTTATCAGTGGGTGCTGCCGGGGCGCTACTGGGCTGTGGTGGAGGCGGCGGCTCTGGCCCCTTCGATTTCGTTTTATCAGGCTTGACGTCTACAGGCCCCAGCACCAGTTGTGAGCTCTCATAGAACTTGCGAGGAGCGTAGCCAAACGGACGTGCTGCTTGCAATTCACGCTCCGCTCTTGTGAACCTGCATTTTGGCAATAACTTGTGAAGTCTACGTATATGCTGCATATACAGCTGCTCAACTAACACCGATGGACACGAGGATTATTTAGGATTCAGCAATATTATGAACAAACGAGAGCCAAACCGGATATGTCGTATATGTATCGAACTGGCGACTCGGACGCCCAGTAAACATAACTTAATCAAACATTAAGACATGCATACTACATTGCACTTATATTATATGTGATTAAATTGGTAGAAAGTTAATGATTACTTGCTGGCTGACACCATCTTCATAGTTTTAGTAATCTTTTGAATATTTTTAATAGATTTCAGTCGTATTGACAATTGCTTTAGTTGAACCATTATAGAGGCTCTATTTAATCAATAACTTCTGTATTATATAATACAAATATTTACAAATATTAAACTATGGTGTCATTATTGAAATAGGTTTGATTTTGTCAGATGTCAGATTTTATGTCATGTGTATATCATAGACGATACATGTAAATGTATACGAAACTACACTCTGCCTCACATGTATTCGACCTTATACGACAATGGTGTCTACTGTCTGGGTGTACTAATGACAATTTTCAATAGATATTTGTTTAGTTCAATTAACATGTAATTACATACCTTGTACTCCTCGTGTGCTGGGTGCACAGGCTTCACAACGACAGAAGCGTGGACGGCCATAAACTTATTAGCAATATTCAGGAAATTCCTTCAGGAAGTAGCGCGTTACGCTACCAAGGTATGTGCCTACCATGACGACCATTGCTACATCGAGGAAGTGCCACTTTCTCACAAAATACCAGCGTCAGGTATGAGAGAGTACCCAAGGCCACTTTTTGAATGTATTTTAATTTCATAATTCATTACTTTCGTAGACAACAGTTTTCCACATGGTCCGCAACGCACTTGTGGCGCTTCTGATGTTGTAGGACTATTTAGACTACAACCACATACCATCACTCGTTATTGCTAGTGGCAGGTGCAACAGTTATAAAATAAAGCGAAATATACGTAACTATTAAGTATCTAATTAGATTTACAATTTGTGATGCATTTACGATCCTACAGACTTGCCTAAATAATAGCTGTAAATAAAACAAGGAACATAGTATAATATTGCAACCGTGTCACAATATTACGTGATCTATGGACTACAAGTGACAGTTGCACTAAAACAGAAGAAATCAGTTCGGCGGCTGCTCGGTCGAGTTACTTCACCAGCGCAAGCGCAACAATGCCTTATTTTACTTCATCAACGATATTCAAACATTCTGCAGCCTTGCGGAAACGGAAACGTTTCAGTTCCTGTTGCAATATTCTGCGTGCCTAAGACGAAGGCTTTATTATAAAAGTACTTTGTTGAAACGATTTCAGTTAATAACAGTCGGCGCAGGCGCAGTGTTCAGAGCACAAGCGTCACGCACACGCTGCTAAGGACATTCACTTGTTATTGAGGTACGATTGTTCTCTTCAATTCTGAATTTTGTTTTATAACTATTGAGTTTAGTGCTACACAAATTGGCTATGTAAGTTCGAGTATTTTTGGTGAACCATCCAGGTCTCATCGCACAACGTTGTACGATGTATATTAAGTCCACAAGAACTCTCTTGTGTCGCATCAGCATAGTAAACATTAAAATATTACAGCTTTTATTTTATTGTGCTATCGGTATTTTCAAAGAAAATAGAAGATCAATGTGATGTGTGAGCACTGCGCAGTATCTACCTGACACTGACTCTCGGCCTGAGATTACTTCGCACACGTTTTATTATGATTACATCAGGCGGACAGCTATCAAACACGACGATAATTAATTTATTAGATACCTACGACTTCACTTGGAATCTACAAGTTTCATTCTAGAAGTTTTTTTCCTCATTTTTCTTGAGTAGTAACATGCCTAACCAGTTTAGTTGATAACTGAGTACAGTTACTATAAACAGTGACGATGTAATTGATTTCGATAGTGGAGTTGTTTATCAAGACAATTGAACGTTTAATTCATTTTAGTTTATGTTACGAGATAAAGAGATAACGTATCGGGAGCGGTGCTCTCCGCCTCCGACCTCCCGACCTCGGGAGGATCGAAATTATTTCGATAGCGATGCAATTCATCAATGAACTCCTCATTATGTACTCTCCGCGGAACTTTCTCCAGTATTTAAACATTTAAATCGTAATTCTCTGAATATATCTCCAACCTAGCGGGGCAATGATTTATTGACTTAATTAAAATGTAATTATGTACATACTTTAAAATGTTCTCAAAAAATAACGAGTTGATTCTTTATTTTCGGTTGATTTTGAAATAAACTGGGTACTTCAATTAGTAATAAGTATAATAATAGGTACACCGAGTCCTAATGACGTCGCAATGTATAAGGACAATGTCAACATTTGTGTAGCGGGCATAAGTAGATATCGACATATTTATTCATTAAGCTTTTTTTGTAACAATATAATTAATTTATAAAAAGTTCCAAACGTAATAAAGTGGCTACATTGCATAGACGAACTTTTTATCTAATACACCGAGGTGACTAACAGACTGTGCTCAGCCAGGCATTTGGATGTGGTACGTAATACTATAGGCACTCACTATAATAGCAGACCGATTGACTTAATTACTGTGTGGTGTCCTGTGATTGCGCTCAAATACGTACTAAATGTAAACCTAGAAATAACCGATTGTCCAGCATCCAATCGCCAACCACACAGTTGGCAAAGAGATTTACCAATCTCTAGTAAAACCAGTCAGTAATATTTCCTTGTGTTGATAGATGACATGTCATCATCGAGTATCGGTTTGTTTACTAGATATTGTTGTTGTTGTCATCAAAATGCCGCATCCAAGACGTGCGGTCAGTGGTGCGTGTCGTGACGTCAAAAGAGCCTCATAAAAGCTGCGCGCGCGCCGCTCGCGTTTGTTTACACGCATAGCGTTAGCGTCGTACAGAGTGTCATATCGGTGTCTGGAGAGCTGCAAGATGATGAGAGTACAACCAGAACGTGAGGAAGTGAAGCTTTCCTCCTCACCTCCTGACAAGGTTAGTCCTCGCTCCTCCTGCCCCTACCGCTATCTGATTTATCTATTGTTACAAGCTCGCGAAACGCAATTGTCTTTGATTCATGATACAGTCCAGCAGTTTGTTTATATTGTGTACGAGTTACACCGAGTGGTCTGGTAATGGAACAGCAGCTTGCATTGGCGAACCAATTTATGTAAATGCCCAAGTAATGAATGTTTATGAACGAGTAGTCGCCGGTGTCGCGGTAGATAGCCGATACTTAAGTATGCATCAGAATACTGTACAATGGAGAGAACTAGTACCAACTTCAATTAAAAATAAAATCAATAAAGTGGGACCCACAGTTGCACTATTTTTGTTTAAAGCTGGTTTCGTAAATACAGATTGCAAACTCTTAAAGTCTCGATCTGTGATAAAGCGCTCAGTGCCTATAAAGATGCCATTTTCCAGTACTCTAGAATCTAGAGCCTAGATAATATTTTGAAAACATGTATTTGTGGCTTTAAAAAAATTGAGGATGAATATAACGAGCTGGATAATGTGAGCGAGAAATGCTAGTACAATAATAATGCCAATTAAATATTGTCACTATTTATGTTACATTGGGTACAAGCTTTGGTGTCATTACAAAATGTATGAATTCAGTAACTGCCGGACTCACAGGGATTTAATGATTACCTTGTACTAACGATTTTGTTCCGAAACAATTAAATACAAATAAGGACTGAGTTAAGTAACTATCAATTCTCTCTGAATATTTACTGGACACATTTGCTTTATTAATGCTCAGTAGACAAAAAGACTTACTGTCATATTTATCGATTCATCATTATTTATTATTTGTTCTTGTTTTTGAAGCTTGTTTAGCGTGAGTTTCACCAAAATAACATGGTTTCATTCTAGAAGGCAAATGTAATTATAGTAAATATTTCAAACTGGTTCTGCTACACATACCTTACCCGGAAACATATCCAATAAGTACTACAAAATGCGAACTTGTTCCTTTTGCAGTAGTTAGTTAAAACATTTATTTACGCGTGCGTGTAAACAAAGTGATTAGTCTTAATGTTATTTTCTTATTAACTACAATAACACTCTAGCATGTAGGTGTGTGGTATTTATTACGATATAATGATATTATTGTCCTAGTATGTATTGTAATCACATGTGCAATCGTTTATTGCTCGCTCGAGTATGCAACACTTTAACATTTCCAACTACAGAAATATTAATTCTTTATTATATCTGTGTTCCAACAATACATTTGTGGCATTTAACTGATGAATATAAACTCATAGAACATCTGCACTGCACGCAGAGTAGTTTGGAGATTCACTTAAAAATACGTAAATGATACGAGTGAATAGTTTCCCATCCCTCTAGGCTTTTTTTGACGGGGGAAAATCATCCTATAACTTCTCCCGCCTTGAATTTGGCGAGTGGGAGTGTCAGACTCTGACTATGAACCACCCCGTTCCTACTCCTGCTCTTTGAGCCGGCAACTCGTTAGGCTTTCCGCGGCTCCGCATCGGGCAACAGTCCTTCATCTGTAGTGGTCTGACAGGTCTTTGAGGCGCGCGCGGAACGTGACGAGCCGTACGCACGGGTCTCGTTATGGTCGGGCGGCGAGCTACCCTTGCTCGCCGTCAGCAGAGCCGCACTTGCGGTGGCCGAAATTCTTCAAGGGATCTCCTACTCCAGGAGTGTCTGCCGCGAATCCCTGTAGGCTGGAGTACTACGTTGTACACCAAGTGAGATAGTAACCAAGCATAAACCTCATTTATAAAAAAGCAGCGGACCGATATATTCTATACCGGGTACCGGTAGGGATAGCTGGAGGCATGAATGTAAATTCGATCCTTCAGTCATATAAGTATTATTGCGACATTTCAATACCAATCAAATATCCAAAAATAATCACGGTTTCATTAATTGTTTTGACGATGTGTTTAATTTTCGTATTTTATATCGTTTTTGTATAAAAGAAGGTTATCATTAGAAACAAAATCATCGTGACTTATAAAATTCCTAAGTAAGTGTCGTTTTGGACATTGAATTTGACTAGTTGTAGGTACTACCGTGGAGGGTATGTAAGCTACAACTTCAAAATAGTAGGAGTTTATACCTCGTTGATCCAGTAGGCGGAAGCGTGGATGTCGGGCGCAATGTTCTAACGTAGAATCTGATCAGGACAAGTGCTTTTTAAGAATATGACAATACGTTACATTTGAAAATTCAGGTACTGGGTGTGTAATCCATAGTGTACTCGTGAACAGCATCTATCAGTCGTTTAGAAGTTACCTATGTACTGTACACGCATAACAACTAAATGACTCAATCAAATAAGACGCAATTGTTTTGTTAGGACTGAGGTTTTATGTCAAAACTAGTCAACAGATTCACAGGGTAAGTCGGGAAATAGTGCCTGTATTTATAATCAAGCTTTCTGTTGTCAAATAAGGATAATCATAATATTATTCATTACACGATAATATACTAATCTGTGTTATTTTTGCTTGTGTACCTAGATTTTTGCGTATTCGAATCACAGGGTACCGCAAGTTCCCAAACACGTTCTGACAACTGGTCCACAACACTTTGAAGTAGTTTGAGCACAATATAATTATACAGGATGTAGGCTAAGTATACACTGGCCGATATAACTCACTCGGCATTTTAATACTTCCAATTAAGTTTATCCTTCGTTTAGTATGTTTAGCAGCACGCTATACAAATCATGCCCAGCTACCTGCGCGTGTCTTTCGTGCATCGTCAGTCTTGCAACAAATCAATGTTAATCTGTTGTAATAGTGTGTAGTGTTCTAATAGTGAGGAGCATTTTGATTACACTCACACCATACCAAAAGTAGACCCTGTGTTGGTGTTTTCTGTTTTCTTTCTTTTCTTTCTTTCAGTGTTTGTTATCTTTTCTAATCCGGTTAAGAACCGTCTGTGTAAGACATGTAATAACAACAGCAGCGCATCGGAGTGTACTGTTAGTGGCTACTTAGTGGTTACAGGATACCACATGAATTGCGACTAATTCGTAAGAACTGGGCAAGATGTGCCGTAGTATGATACTCGATAAGTGATGTGCCTCGTCTTACATAAAGTGCAACTCTGCTGTAAACTGCATGAAACCGATTATATCTGACTTGGAACGTGGCTGTGGTGTTTATTAAAGTAATTAAATATTACGTAAGCACAGAGTCAGCCCAGTGTCACCGCGGTACACCACCACTGAGCTCATAGTTCGCGATAATTTTATCAATTTACTACGATTTCACAAAACAAATGTCACGAGTCACGCATTCAAACTGGGGTTATCTGTAACTTATGAATTTTTTACTTATTCTTGTGATGAGCAATCGCAGTAATAATGATAACATACTTTGTTATTATTTTATATATTCGCCATTACATTTTAATTAAACATTGATAACAGTTTTGTGGCGTCATTTTATTGGGCTTAATGCGTAATTATCTACAAATCAATTAAAAATAATGAAGCGTGCGCTGACGACAGGGTATGACATTTGTGAGAGATGGGCATCAACGCTTTCTGATTATTTACCTAAACCCTTTAATATATCCATCTCCGATCTGACGAGCGTGCAAATTATGGCAAACCTATTAACCTCTTATATAGAGGGAGCCTATATGTCCAGCTGTGAACTGTCATGGGCAGTTGGTGATGATGAAGTGGGTGTGTAAGTACAAGATAGCAGGTATGTGGGTAGCTGGAGCCAACCCTGCTTCGCACGTTACTTCAAAACAAATAGCAGATAATATTTACAGCTCTGACGTCACTATAGTATACACAGTCTGGTTGCACACATGTGCGGCTATCATCAGCTGAAGTACGGTCGGCTCGGGGTTATCGGTAACTCCACGCAACCTGGATGTGGCTAGAGGGGCGGCCGTTATCACTCTGCACCCACTACTCCGTGATGCAACACAACTTAGCATTTCTTGTGTTCTGTGCACCTCTAGCGGCTACCCCCGCAGTTATAGTCACCAGTATACTTTCATAACATTGTCATTCTTAAAGTATTTATTGATAATCCATTTTGGACATATTTATGTGGGCATGAAGTATAGCTTAATTTCTTAGTTGATATATGGAACTGTTATCAGTTTGATGTATCAGCAGTTACCTTAACACAAACCTTTAATTATTCCACCCAAGACTATTCAAGTAATGTTTGTCATTAAATTAAATCTGCATATACACAGCTCAAACAAATTCAAAAACTCGTTTTACTAAGAGCGCAATACAGAAATCGGTAAACATAATGGTTAATGCTTTTGTATTTGGCTTGACTCGGCGGCTCTTCACAAAGCCACCAGCGTGGCCTAAGATTGTTGTAACCACAATGAAATTTCATTTGATTCCAGCCCAAGCTGATGGAAGGGGGTAACTATATCCGCGAGGGTCGCGACTCCAGCAAGTCCACGTGGCTGCTGTTCTCCCCCGCGACTCCTGATGAAGCCGGCGCACTCGCCAAGTTCCTCAGCGTATTCTCCTCGCATGGAGTCAATCTGATGCACATCGAGTCGCGGTCCTCCGCCAGGCGGCCGGGGTACGAGTTCATGGTGGAGTGCGAGCACGGGGCTGGAGACTTCGGGGCAGCACTCGACGAGCTCAAGAATAACGTTGGCTACTTGAACATCATCTCTAGAAACTATAAAGATAACAGATGTAAGTCGTTCATACGATGATTTCTTTTAACATACACAAATATGTAAAAATGTGTTGCGAGTAAGCTAAAACATAAATATTTATTGTGAACAGACGCGGTGCCATGGTTCCCTCGCCGTATCCGTGACTTGGACAGATTTGCCAACCAGATCCTGTCTTACGGCGCGGAGTTAGACTCCGACCATCCTGGCTTCACCGACCCGGAGTACAGAGCTCGGCGCAAGTACTTCGCGGACATCGCATACAACTACAAGTACGGGCAGCCGCTGCCGCACGTCGACTACACCGAGCAGGAGATCGCCACCTGGGGCGCCGTGTTCAGAAAGCTCACTGAGCTGTACCCCACACACGCATGCAAGGAGCACAACCACGTTTTCCCGCTGCTCATTGAGAACTGCGGCTACAGGGAGAACAATATCCCACAGCTGGAGGACGTATCCAACTTCCTCAAAGGTACGCCAATTCTATAAGTGTAACACACGCCACGGCTTCTAAACTAATATATTGGATTTTTTGCTATAAGTAGTTAGGTTTAATAAAAACTGAATTAACGAATACATTCCTTAACAGACTGCACAGGCTTCACCCTACGGCCGGTGGCCGGGCTCCTCTCCTCGCGCGACTTCCTGGCGGGGCTAGCGTTCCGCGTGTTCCACAGCACGCAATATATCAGACACCACTCGCGCCCCCTGTACACCCCGGAGCCCGACGTGTGTCACGAGCTGCTGGGCCACGCTCCTCTGTTCGCAGACCCGGCCTTCGCACAGTTTTCACAGGAGATTGGTCTCGCCTCACTCGGAGCGCCTGATGATTATATTGAGAAACTTGCCACCGTAAGTACTTTGTGCATACTTGTGGAATTGAACCCTGCTTGAATTGAACTTGTGTATTTCGGATGGAAGTATTATTAAGGTTGCTTTAATCTCTATGACGTCTGTTCCAGTGCTTTTGGTTCACGGTGGAGTTCGGTCTGTGCCGGCAAGAGGGTAAGTTGAAGGCGTTCGGTGCTGGCTTACTGTCATCATTCGGAGAGCTGCAGTACTGCCTTTCCGACCAGCCAGAGCTCCGGGAGTTCGACCCTGACACCACTGGCGACACCAAGTACCCTATAACGGAATACCAGCCGGTCTACTTTGTGGCGAACAGCTTCGAGGATGCTAAGGAGAGAATGATGTAAGTCCTAGTGTATAGTGAGATTTGTGTTTCACCCATCACCTTGCACAATAATGTATTTTATTTACTCATGCTTAGATTGAATGTTTTGGCAGATATTTTCATATCAAGAATTTCAAACAAGAATTGTTTTTTGTAATATTATTATGCTGCGTATACTTATGTGTGTTTACTGCAAATTACAGAAAATTCGCTCAAAAGATTCCCCGCGACTTCGGTGTCCGCTACAACCCTTACACGCAGAGCGTGGACATCCTGGACTCGCCGCGACAGATGAAGGACCTGCTGCGGGAGGTGCACCAGGAGATGAATCTGCTCCTCAACGCCATGGACAAGCTATAGAGCCAAGGACCTGGTGCCGGTGGTTCCGTGTTCACCGTGTTGTGGCCTGGCTGGACCGACACAACGCAACGCCATTCTACCTGACCTGACCAATCTTACTGTCATGACGGTTGATTCCTTTCACATTGTTATTGACTATTTTTGGAATTATTATATTAAATTGCATGATATGGTCTAAATTATGAAATAAGTATATCCTCTATCATATGGTACTATGTATAGGTATTATAGGTACGTCAGTACCTACTTTTTGATAAATATGTTGTGTGCGATATAGTTTATATGAAATATCGCGCCGCTGTTGTATCAATAATTCTATTTGTTTTTGTAACGTATTGTATATAACTGATTTCTATTAAGTTATCTTTAGCTAATTGTAAGTTTAAGTTAAGGTTAATACGATTGATAATAAAAATATTGTTAATAACTTGAACATTTTACTTGTAACAAGCGAATATTTGTGACTCCCTTGATAGTTGTCAGTTCCCTACACGGTTGATGTAACGCTCGCGATGCGTCTGGTAGTGCAGGTGAATCTAAGCTAGTGTCTAGGTGATGTATGCAAAGTTCTGTAAAGTCCAGTACAATATACATTTCGGTTCAATAACACTTGTAATGAACGGAGTACACAGTTTTCTCGGGTAAACAATAAACAACAGTCACAATTAACCAACAATATATTTAAAAATTTGTACAGAATAAACTTAAGTACCTAGTACTTGTAGCAACTAATTAATTACAATAAAATGACAAGATGACGCGCTACGTTATGTCACTTACATCTACAATCATAAATTAATAAATATCCTATAGAGGGCGCGCAGGGCGGCGCGGACCCGCCCGCCCCGCCGTGCTCTCATCTTATTTACAATAATCAAGTACATTACTTACACAAGTTGTCTATTTACAATACTGAAGTCAATGAATCGGCCCTCGGCCGACTATACGCCAGTGTAATTGACAGGCTATATGTATAACAACTCCAAATACTGAAATATCCTATTGAATTTTTTTACAGAGTATAGAGACATACGGTCGAGAATATTTAACAGATCTCATGGTATATATCTTGAAGACAGTACAATTCCAATAATGTTAAATTCAATTATTACGTTAACTAGATCCAATGACTTAAACGTTGAGGAGTTAAACAGTACAATTCGAGAGTGAGTGGTGCGCCTTGCAGCAGTACCCCATGTGTCTAGTTAGTACATTAAAGTATATGAGTGACAATAAATTATTGCGGTGAGCTGCGTACACTACACATTACGTGGATATTAAAACATGTCGTATTGACCTACGAATAGAGTTTGAAGTGAGAAATGTTTGATAAAATCACATTGATGGTGTGCGTATCAACTTAGTATCGACAGTCTAGCAGTAACTACTTGTACACGGACAGCGGCGCCGCGGCATACCGGCACTGTGGCTTAAAGTGGAGTCCGAATAATAAAATCTTATGTTGATATGTAGTGAAATTGCTTTTGTAAATATCACGGGAAATCGGCATGTTCCTGACGGACTCCACCCAGCGGCACCCGGCAGCGCCCGGCGGAGGCTGGGCCTGCGGGCCGCGCTGGGCTGGTCGCGAGTCGCGCTGCTTCTCTCTTACACCTAGTTCTACAGACTATACTCTGATCGCACAGGAATGTCAATATGAATATATTCTAGAAGTACTCTCTCAACTACTATTGCTTTTTCTTCACGTTATAGTGGCTACCTCTTATTACTATGATTTGGCACTAAACTCTAGAGATTTATAAAATTGCAGAGATAATCTTAGTTCAGTTAGATTTAGTACAATACTATGAAATGTATAATTGTAAACTAATCGAAAACAGTTACGATAGAGAACGTATCACAGTTACTGGAAATAAATAAATAAATACAACTTTTTACAATAAATATCAAACGTCCACATTTAGATGTATAAATTATGATTAAGTAAGGATTTAGAATATGTATAAAGCGTGCTGCTATAGTTATTGCAAGTATGAGACAGAATAATGTCGTTGTCATAAGAATATTGTTACAAGGCTCTGATTGCCGTAGTTGTACAACCCGGCAATGTACTGTATGCGGATATACAACATACATACAGACAGGGAGACCTCACAATCGTAGTACATCCGACCCTGATGCAGTTAGAGGAATATGTTGCAAACAGTATCGCAGGACACGGACAGTTGTGCACTGGTCCTCAGCAGCTCACACCTCACTCTGCATGCAGTGGATGGAGGAGTCCTCCGACAGCTCATCCATTGAAGAATCCGTGAAAGACGTTCCATCTGTAAATTGTATTTGTAACTCAAATCACCTTCACATAGTTATGACTAATTGTTTAACTAAAAGTGCAGTCAACTCGCTACGACATTTGTACACGTAATAACCTAACATAGTAGGTAACTATAAAGTGAATAACTTTTGGTTTAAACTTTTTATTAATAATACAGAACAATTAAATACTCGACCACATATAACAACTAGTTATTCCTGTCATACATTTTGTCACGTACAATGTTATCAATTAGTTGCTGGTTGGAAGCTGGGGAGGCCAAGGTTGGTTGTCAAACTGATTGGTTACGACCAATCTTAACCAACGAAATGCGAAAATTGTTCGGTGTTAGAAAATTACCATTAAAGGTGAGGTGGTTCTTTTGTCACTGATGCCTAAAAATTACCAATGAGAAAACCAATCCGTGAGGAAATTAACCTCGGTTTCCCGATGTTCATTGAACCATAAAACCGTAGACCGATCACAAAGAGAAGTTGTTTTGAATAATATGTGGATTCTTACCTATCGGCACAAAAGGTGGCTTGTTCTGGAACGAGTAGGTGAGGTGCAGGTTGATGGGGCGGCCAAACCCCGCCGGGTCTGCGTCACGGGACACCACTGTGTAACACACAACACACGTAAACACATGAGGGACTTAAACACTGTTCGCAGAGCTGTTCGCCGCGCTAGCAACACAAGTCATTCGCCATATGTCGTGGAGTGGAGGTGACACTTGTTTCCACTGTGCTGGCAGTGCATACCCAAGCTTTACAATGATCCAAGCCGAAGCAAGTGTCTCCCACCGGCCGTACTTGCGCAGGTGATACTAACATTGGCTTTGCTTGCCCTTCCCGGTGTGCTGGTGCTTCTTCTGCCTGGCGCGGCTGTTCTGGAACCAGACTTGCGTCACCCGCTTGCTGAGCCCCGTCACTTGCGCGATCCGCTCCAAATCCTGTCCGTCAGGGTTGGAGTCGAGCTGGAAGTTCGCCTGCAGAACCTGCAGCTGCTCCTCAGTGAAGGTAGTGCGCACACGTTTCGCCTTGCTCTTGTGGTAGCCCTCCGAGTCGCAGCCGTCTGAAGATGACGTCATCGTTATGTCAGTCGCATATTATGTTAAAGTACCATGCAGTAAGGGATGAACTTATGATCATGTTTATAAGGATACAATTCGAAACTCCGAGTTTATTTCGGGAATCGAACCCAAGACCACTTACTCAGGACCAACGAGGCATTGAGTTTATATGACTGTTGAGTTGCATTTATAAATAATGTATGTAGCCAGTTGCTGATGCTTCGACAAGTGCTATTACATAGCGGGTACAAGTACTATTTTATAGTTTATTTACGGAAATAAATATCACCTCAAACCAAAAACTGGTTGGGTTGCTTGTTTAAGGTTAACAGACTGGAGTTTCAAATCTCACCATCAGAAGAAATGGAGCCACCGTCGAGTGTCTCCAAGTAGTGAGGCTTGCAGAGCACTCTGTCCTCGTGCAGTGCGAACTGCTCGCCGGTGGAGAGCTGGCGGCCGCAGGCGTCGCAAGCGAAGCAGGCGAGGTGGTAGACCTGCTCCCGTGCCTTGCGCACCCAGTCCGACGACGAGATGCCGCGGCAGCACTTGGAGCACTTCGCGCCGAAACTCCTGCGCAAACACACACGTCATGCTGCCGGACTAACACAACATGATCGCGAGCTCGTCGTGAGCTCTTACTGCACATACATACAGCACATACCTGGTACAAGCTCATTACACAAGTACAGCAAGGAACATCAACATCTTGTTCTCGCAGTACGATCTAAACGATCTAATGATAATTTAATACATTCAATTCATGGCTACTCCAAACACTGTTGATTAAATAAATATTATGGAAACGTTGCAGAGGTCTTAAACAGATACCATTTAAATGAACCCCGCCACACAATAGGTACCTACGATACATAATATAACTGGTGACATATCTACACATTTTCTTATTTGTCTGACTACTCGTTGAGAGCATAAATAATTAATAAATAATTCAAGTTGCACAATAGGTACACGTACTAGTACTATGTGTTAGTGTGGGTGCACTAAGTGCATAACTATAAAAGTAATGTCTTAGTTTTTGCCAACAATTGATGGTATTTGCTCAAACCGATAAATACGCCATTCATGTGTAAAATATTAGCAATCGTAGATCAAGCATGTAAAGATTGTATACGTATGTTTTGATGGCGAGCCAATTGGTACACGTCGGCGAGACCTTGTCGGTGTCATTGAAGCCTCACCGCCATTATAATTGCGCAAAGCATACACAGATCATAACAAAAAGAGTTCGCGTAGCGAATGTAATATTCTCGCTGAGCGGTCTGCGCATGCGCCTTCCACGTGTGTTACTACTACTACCTAATTACAAGATGTAATATACTATAGGTTTCCGCTGGGTTCCTGCGAGGTATATATGCCTGTGTGTCTCGTGACGAGCTCGCGGACGCGACGGCACTGACTGAGCCAGCGGACAGCCGGCCGGAGCCCAGTGAGCACTTTATTTATGTTGGATGCAGTTTATGAGTCATTATAGTTTGTACTGCCATAATTGTTTGGTATAGTAATCTTGTTGATATGTTTTACGAGCGGGCTGACATTAAAGCGCTGTCGCGGAGGAGGGCGCAAGGTGCGCACCACCTTGCTTTACTTCTAACTGACATTTATTAGCAATTACACTAAAAGTTTTGATCTTTAAATAAATACGTACGTAGTTTCTTATCACTAGGATTTTTTGGAACATACTGCCTATTGCCACGATGTATATGACTAGCGCGACAGTCACATCACAAACAATTATGTTCAATAGTAGCAAAGTAATGTAGAGCCTCCTTTGTACTGGCTGATTCGTTCTCTAATCTGTAATAATTCCGATAATCGGTAGCATAATACCTCACATCGTAAATGTTCTTAATAAAGATACTTTAAACAGCTAAAATTGGATGACTTTGTCCAAAAAATACGTACACGAACGACACAAACCGTGGTTAAAGTCAGCTGTCTAATTTTTTAATTCAACCAACTTCTAGAATATCTCGTTTCTCAGAAAACTTATTCATCTCCAGCCATGTGTTGTCCATACCTGGACATAGGCCTCCTCCAGTTTCCGCCAGGCCTTTCAATATTGTGCCTTTTGCATCCGGTCCTACGTGTCGTCTGATGGCGTCCATCCATCTTATAGGTCTGGTACTCATGTGGGGTCGGTTATAATTAATTTATAACAAGAAGTCAAGCGCAGTCCGAAGAAACTTTGGCACCTATATAGCAAAAAACAGTTGCTTCGTGTAAAAATTTGATTATTAGTACTCTCAGAAAGACGCTATGGCGTTTAAGGTTGTGGTATGGTTATAAGTAATCTTTATTGAAATCTGGTAATTGTCGAACCGCACAATTAGTGCTCCATGTTGCTCAGGTAAAGATAGCCATTAAAGTGGTGTAATGAGTTTAATAAAACTGTGTCCCCAGTCGTCGCGCAACAAGACAAACAAAACATTTGTTTATGAAAGTCGGCGCTCGTTATCACCGCGAGCGGTGAGCGACAACTGCGCGGCTCCCGAGCCCCTCATTAACATTCGCGAGCCCTTCATATTTAATTAATTAAATAAACGCATGCAACACACCATTAACACGCTATCATATCACTTAACGCGAACATTAAAACGGTCCTGTTTGTTTTTTATACATTCAAATCTGGTGGCGCGCCGCCGCCGCTGCCGCCGCCGCCGCCTCTCTGCCCGACTCCCTTGCTCCGACAATTCATTATTACTAAAGTGTGCCACAATTAAGCATTCAATGAAATGGCTTACTAGGATATCTAACCTATTCTACGTTGCAAAAAAACTTAACTGTAACATCAGTTAAATTGACATCTTAGGTTTGGTACTTTGGTACAGAACGAAACCTACTTGATACATTTCACGTTCTTTTATACTTTGTATCGATGGTTTCCTGTTAAAACTGGTTGAGAGATCCAAAGTAGAGCCGTTACCTTCCAAAGTATTTGCACTCAAATGAATTAAACAAGAACGAATAATACAACTTATACGAACAAAGTTAAGAGAGCTATGATGTATTGTGTGGTGATGTATGGTACAGATTTAGCACACACTACTGGTAAGCTACACGCCCTATGTGGGAGTTAATTACATCGGCTCGACTGAAGTAATGCAGTGACGTTATGTAATAACAGATGGCTTGATGTTCTTTATCATTTATAAAGATATATGAATTGCATTAATGGAGGCTCGCACACACGCGCACGCCTCTACACTATCGATAACACAGCTGTACACAAAGTGCAAAATCGCGTGTTACACGTATATTAATTCAGTCAGTCCCGTCTCTTATCGGCGCTATCCACACCAATATTCCAAAAGCACGATTTGCATTTCAAAACGTAGCGTCTTCGGACAGAAGCACCGTTTCACGAGCGCTATCACCACTTATTAACATTTTGTCGTCGGCTGAATCAATTAACTGCGGCCCTCGCATAATAATTAACTAAGTGACAGATTAACAAGTTTTAACACTCGGCGATAATGAAGATGTCGCGTACCGGAGCCAGATAAGCGTGTTCCCTATTCATGGGGCCTATGGAGGGACGGGGAGGTCTGGATCTCGCCTGCTCGATGCTATCTCTACACTGAGAACCATTCGGTATTTCTGTTTATTAAACAGATGACCAAATCCGTATATCCCGAGGGCGTTTGACAAAATCGGGTGCGTGCCGTGCGCGGGCGCAACGCGGTCCGCCCGCGGCTCTCTCATAAATCGTCGCTCGTTGATTGCTTTCCGCGCGCGCGCCTCTCCCCTGCCTGCCATCACATTTTAATATCCATTCAGAATCGCGTAGCGTCCCTCCGTCCTCCTCTGTCCTCCTCTGTCCGGCGTATGATTTAAGTTATTTGTTTTAGATGGTGTTGTACGGAGCGAGTTTGTTTTAACAATTTGGAGTCAGTGTTACAGCGAGGTGCCGCGGGCGACGCTGAGCGATGGCCGCGCGCCGACACAATGCGCCTCGATAATATAACCTTCATGAACGTTCGACCACTGATTTGTTACTATAACTTTTTTAATTACTTTGCTTTTATAAGAGTTAATGACACATAAATTGTTATCAACAGCTCGGCCGACGAGCGACGAGCACCGTCACACGCACGGCGTAGGCGCATCGATTGCATTACCTATTACTTATAAATTGTGTTTACCTATAATATATTTGTAAGTAGAAATACTTACCTGTCTCGAGTAAGTTATGTGTGACTGTGTCTATACGTTTAAGTAGATATTATTGTTGTGGTTTAATTTGTTTGAAAATTCGAAAACAATGTCGTAGCGCTAGTTTCATGTAAATTGGGAACAAGGGAGAGAGAATAATAATTGTAAATCGAGTAGCAGCGCAGATTACTCTCTGCATTAGGGCCTGTTCACATCCGGGCACGTTACGTATCCGCAATAAATTCAGAAAGTGCCTGATGTTTGGTGTGAGTGTGACTACCTTCGCTGAACACTCGTACATGGATTTATCATCACGGCTCGTAGCAGGTTATTAGTAATGTTTGGCTAAAATGTTATACTGTGATACTGGTCCATCTCAAATCCTTTCTATTAAAGACACACGATTATCTGAGGAATTGGGTATTAATGCTTTATAATTAACTACTGTTCATTGGTCATGAAAAATATCGTCCGTTAAACATTTATAAATTGAATAAATAAACACTTGAAACCCTTAACTCGGGCTGTGAAACAGCAACATGTTGTAGAAAACAGTCAATCAGCCGGCAGGCGTGTTCTCGAGCGGAGTCTCGATATTTCGAGTTATGATAAGACCGGGCTGCATCAGGTTGCCATTGTTTATTCTCAATGGATCGATCTAAGGCAGGACTTATTTATGCGGCTAGAGATTAATTAAAGCCAAGAGTGGACATGGTGCATTTACATAAGACACGGCGCGCGCATTTGCGGCGGGCGAGGCGTGGGCGGGACATCGCGTGCGCCCGCGCAGCCGCGCCGCGGTCCTCTCTCACTCCGGCCGGCGCATGGTGCTGATATGTGACTCGCGGATATGAAATTGAGATCATTACGTGTGCCCAATACTACGGTGACATTTACAAGCTCCGGTTGATCCTGCAGCCTGAGCGTAGTGAGCGCAGTTTCTGGCCACACTGTTGAAGCGAGCTCGTTCATTTCTGGTTCATTCTAGTTTAGTTAATGGTTACAGATTGAAACCACAAAAGCTAGTAGGTGAGTTACCTAATGAAAATACCATTTATAATTTCGTAGAGAAATTCGGAATGCACGCATGTTGAGCGTTAGCGACAACAATTGTAAAGGAAACGATACTAACAATAACGGCACGGCATCGTATATCCGGCTCTACTTATGTTAACAAGCCGTGCAGTGGAATAAAGGCGCGAGTGGGCTAGTAGTGGCCAGCGGCCGCGCAGGCGCAGTCGCTACCAGACAAAAAGACGCGCTAAATAAACAATAAACAGATGATACATCAAGGAAAGCAATCACCGCAGATGCCGGCGGCGGCGGCGCGCGGCGGCGCCCGACAACACAGATTTACGTTGGCAGCATCGCTCGTTATGCGCGCCACAACACACAAATATTATTTAAACTGTGACACGGCTCACAACTTAACGAGCACCCGAATATATCGTCTTTTTTACTTTTGCAACATTATTCGTTCGGCTGCAGGCTAATGGGAATCTTAAATTGCCTGTTTGCACTATATTATTGCTAACTAGGTAGGGAGGTAGTTGCACACACTTCATTAATTTAAAAAGATCAATCAGTATTTTAGATATGACTTAAGTCGTCAAAGTCCTAAGTGGTCTAATGATTGAAAGTTAACGTAAATTGGTGAATCAATCAAAGGATGAATATCAAATCACCACATGCCTGTAGTACCACCACACCACATGCCCACGTAGTGATGACGTTTGAAAGGGAAAACTAGACGAAGAAGACATGTTACGCAGAATGAAATTAGTTGATTTACAGAGCGGGAGGAACAATTTTTGAAAATTGTCTCCCCTCGTCCTCAAAAAAAACCATACTCGTTGATCAATACAAGTGCTGTTGACATTGCTATTTATATTAAAATGGCAAACTGGTCTACTTTTTTTGATATTATCTTGATTGTCAAATAAATATACTTCAACTTCCAACGTGTTTTTTCTCTACTTTATTTATCAGCAATCTTTTCGAGATTTAGAAATAAGAGGGGGCTGTCACTGTACTCTATTTATAAAAAAAATGTGTACATCCTATATTACAACTTTAGAAGCCTTCGCCAGACTTTGAACAACCACGAACCAGGTTATCTAGTATTGTGTTCCGAAGCTTTGTAATAATGATCCAGGGACTGAAAGCGGTTAGGGTATAACGTTACGGTACCGGTATAAAATAAGTACATATATAGAAAAACTTAGATTTGACTGTTCTAAGACGTAAAGCGAGAGGTGCAAGGAGTGTGGGGCGAATGTAGATATAGCAACTGTGTTTAATTTTATATTATTATACTAGCTATTGCCCGCGACTTCGACCGCGTATTATAATGACTTCTGACTGAATTCATCAGAATGGAATTAATGCCTAAATGAGATATAAGTCAAAGTCAAAGTCAAAGCGTTTATTGCAACTAAGTGTACAGATGATGGTTATAAAATTATTACAGTGCTTAATACTTAGCGGCCTCTTACAGACATTGCAACATTTTTAGTTATGTAGGTATACATTCATTGTTATTAACATTGTAGGTAGATATTACAAATCATAAAGAAAAGATAAAATAATAATAATTGTCAGGTAGGTATATGTCACATCATAGTAATAACCAATTCAATAATATATTGTGAAATGAATTTATCTTGGTTTCAAAAAATAAATAATCCCGCAGGGATTTTACCAGTACACTGCCCGTTCCCGTAAGGTTATAGAGATTGTTGTACCGAATCTCTCCAAAATGAGTTCAAAAAATAAAAAATAAACTATCATACATCGTTTCCCAGGTCTCAAACTATAGTTTTACCGAATTTAAATCAAATAGATTCAATGATTCTAGATTCAATGGCTAAGAAGATTTATACAAACTCTCATCACATTTTATCCCCTTAGGAGTGGAATTAATCAAAATATTTTCTTAGGAAATGCCTACGTCGTTG